ACGAAACACATCGACGTGCGGTTTCATTTCATCCGCGGATTGTTTAGGTCGGGGGAAATTTCGGTCAAGTTTGTCCCGACAACGGAGCAACACGCGGACCTCCTCACCAAGGCCCTTAGCAGGGCCAGTCTGCAGTATCACCGGCGCAAGCTGATGAATTTGCCGGAGTAGCTGTAGCAGTTTCTAGCACTTGGGAGAGACCATGTTTTCCATGCGGGGAAAGGCGCATAACTGTTGCGGTCTGTGTGCCAATGGCAGGAGTAGGGGGCGTTGGGAGACCATCGTCAGGGGGAACGTAGTTCCTCGCGTTCTTGTCTTCGCCTTGGCCTTTCTAATACGTACGGCCGTTGTGATCCGCTGTGATAGGGACGGTTTTTTTGTGGTGGTAGGGTTTTTCCTTGAGGGGTTTTGCCCGGACGCCGGGTTTCTCCTCCATACATTACCATGTTGGTATTTTCTGATGTATCCTGGGGCGTCCTTGCCCAATTGATGGTTAATCACTTGCGTGCAGACCAGGGAGGGTGTTTGTGGGTCTGCGAACATTGTTGTTGGATACATGTGCTGGATGATTTTGTGTCTCGCAGACTGGTAAGATAACCGTTTGATGGGGGGCACCGCGATGATTCACGGGGCCCCTCCTTGCTGTGGGAGCCACTCTTTGAGCACTCCCTCTTTCGTCCGTGTGAAGGACGGTCGTCGACCTCTCGTGAAGTTAATACATCACCAAAGCAGTCTCACCCGATAAATAAGTGGCGTAGGCCGCAAACAGAAGACGTGTGTCGTTCCCGTGGAACCCTTTTCTTGTTAATGATGATCCAGATGCACACAGCCTCCCCTTTCACCACGTAGATTATGTTTACGGTAGTTGGACGGCAGAGCAGCCCCGGGCCGACCGGTGGCACACACAGCACCGACTAGGCCCCGACTAGGATGCTTATGAGAGTCAGGGTGCTCGAAGCGAACGAGAGGGGACGAAGGGGGGGGGGGGGCCAAGCAATGGGAGGGCGGGGCCGAACGGCTCAAGTGCCCGAGGGGCGACTTTTCCAAACGTTCGGTGCCACAACCGAATCCACCGGGGACAACAAGCAAAACGTACGGGTTCCCTCGCGCCGTCTGTACTGCCACAGCGGGGATGGAGGAGAGGGTGCTTCGGGTACGCAGGGGTGCCACGGGGGGCGGAGAGCTTCATGGTCCCCTGGTGTTTCATGTTGGAAACGAAGGCCAGCCGACTGCGCGCCCAGAATGAAGGGACAGCTCAGGGGCCAGAAGAACAGACTGGACAAACATCGTCAACGCCGGAAACGACAGCCGAGCGTGGGGAGGGGAAAGCGTAGAAAGATCTAATCCGAGGTGCGAATGCAGCTAAGGAGAACAGGACGGGGATGGCAGAATATGTGCCGGGATGAATGTCGTGGAGGTGGAAGGATGGCCAGCAAAAAGTCTCCCTCAGATTGATCGCTAACCCCTCTCATTGCCCCTTTCCCGAGGTGATATTATGCCTTCGTTGAATACACCTGGTCAGCGTGTTTTGCCGACTTGCCTGTTGTCGTGTATCTGCGTAGAGGAGATATTGACTGCTGTGAGATGTTCACAGCAGTAGTGAAGATAAGACATAGAGCAGAGCTCCTCTCGCACTCGCACGGATGCCTGAAGGGCAGCACGAAAAAACAACACAGAATCAAAGATCGCCAACCGCGACAACAACATGATTACATGATTCTATGCTTACTCGTTACCAGACCAGGGTTGTATTCACCGCAGTTACACCGGTCATACCATTCCCACACAGACAGGTAGGCTACACAAAAAAAGTGTTGGGGGGCTCAAGATCACGACACCCGTGATTCTGGCGTCTACAGCTGGGGCACCGGTCGCCCCGGTGGCCAAGTGATATTATCCTAGGAAACCGCCAGTCGCAAAAGTCGTGCGTTCGAATCCCCATCGGGGTGAAAAATGATAAATTTGCGGGTGAAAGCGAAATATTGCTGAAAAGCTCTCGTGAGTACCAACATTCGACGCTAGCACCGCTGACGAGGGAAAGGGACGGCTGGACCCTTCTCGCGATAAAATTAATATTCAGCACGCACCGCAGGACGAAGGTGGGGCACGAAAACGAATGAAAAAAAAAAAAAACTCCGTCCTGTGTGACCCTGGAAGGTTGTAGTCTAGTTGTACGAAAAAGTACACCGAAAAAGTAGTACTCTAGACTACATACATCCACCGTACAGTAGCTACACGTCTTGGGAGCACTGTCGCCAAAATAGGACGAAAACAACAACAGCAACAGCTGGCTGGGTGTTGCCTTGTACACAAGAGGCCTGCCTGCAGTTATGTAGCATCGACACAGATTACTTTATGTTTTTCTGAAAGTAGGTTTAACCATCGCGCTCAGCGGTGGACTCTAATAAACTGGTATTCAATAACATGCTGTGCTCGACCGTGTCGGCGAAAAAAATAAGAACGGTCGAGCCTCGATGACGCTTGATTCTCTCCGGGCCCGTTCTGTATATGGATGACACCCCGGGCTGAAGAGCACACGAAAAGCGGGCACAGTATAATAATATATTTATAGCCACAGCATTTCATTTATTTCACAAGACTGAGAACTGACTTGCGGCGCACGGCACAGCAGTGCTCCCCGGTACGATGATAGCCCTATGACGACTTCTGCGCGCCGAGGTGAATTTGTCTCTGGGCCTCAAATCTTTTGGATGCCGTCTCTCTCTATTGCGGAGTGCCGAGTACCAAAGCTGACGGACCCACTTACCAACCGCTGATGCAAGCGGTTGGCTGCTGTCCTTGCAAGGTGTGTGTATTGTTGTTCGTCGTACGTGGAGCTACTGCTGTGCCAAGAGGGATTGGTTATGACTGCAATGGCCTGATGCAGTACTGCTGCTGTATTGATATCGCAGCTTGCCTCGGGAAACGGTGCTGGTCCTCGAAGAGATTTTCGTCTTTTTTGTAAGGTGGTGTAGTGAAGAGATGAGGATTCGATCAAAGAGTGTGATTGTTGCATCCTTGGGACGACGGTCAGGGCAAGAAAAAACTGGTGGGTGTAGTAGGTTGGATGGACAACGCCAAATTATCAGTCTGATTAGAGGGAACAGGCGAGGAAAAGATTTTCTGTGCTGCGTGCAAAACTACTGCCGTGCGCGAATTGGGTTGTTGCGAAAGTGAAGAACAACAGCTGTGACAACTCGTATGCCTCGTGGACTAGAAGGGGACGCGTGTTTTCCATGTCTTCGCATCCAGAATGAATGCAAGACTGTTCGGGAAGAGAGATACACGAGCACGCCTGCACAAATCGCTCCTTCCATCCCTCTAGGCGCGCGCGTTTTTTTTTTTTTTTGTCTCCCATCATTGGACGTTGTCGTCTGCCCCTCTGGCCCCTATCCTCCACTTCTACCAGCTAGACGACCCAACGTTAGACCCCCTCCTGCGTATGTACAAGAACAAATGTTGTTACTCCCGAAACGCGGCGGATGTATCCTACAACAACAAAATAATACTGTTTCCCTCGAAACAACAAGGCGAATAGCGAATAATAGTCTATCGCGGGGCACACGTGTCTTTTCGACGAGAACGAAATCCCCTTGTACATTTTGCGCGCGCGCAATGATTTGAAACCGTCATTGTGCGGCCAAAGAGCTTCCGCGACACTGTCGTTGGCAGGGTGATCGCGGGGAGGGAGGCAACTGACACACGCGCGAATCGGTCGAGATCGGAGTTATTATACAATGGATGCATGGATGGATGGATGTGTTCCAACGGAGCGAGCGTCATCAATCATCAAGTTGTTGTTGGTGTGCTTGCAAAATGCGGCGGAACACACACTAGCGCGTGCGCAATGCGGTGGAACAAGAGGTTAAAACAGGAGAAACAGCTCTAACAACCCCCATGACTTGGACTGATGGATTGCGTGTGTACCATGTCTTCGCACGTATCCAAAGCACAAGACTGTTCGGGAAGGAGAGAGATACACAAGCACGCCTGCACATATCGCTGCTTCTATCCCTCTAACGCGCGCGGATGCACAAGAACAAATAATGTTTCCCTCGAAACACGGTGAGTAGTCTATCGCGGGGCACACGACGTGTCGAGATCAGGACGAACTACGAGATCAGGATAAACTATAGTGGATTGATGATGTAGGCTATTTGTTCCGCATTCTTTCGCGCGCGGGCGAAAAATCATTCGAAACCGTTGTTATGCGAAGAAGATACTTCCTCGTCGGGAGGCTGCAGCGGTGTGGCCCGAACCTCTCGTTGGCAGGCAAAATCGGCACACAGCTACCAGCGTCGAAGGACTTGTCAATCCGGCTTTAGATAGGACGGGGGCTTCAATTTAGTGGAGGATAGACAACGTTTAGTCGCATATCGAGATCGGAGCAATTTGGTGTCGGCAGCACCTGCTGCATGCTCGTTTTCGTGCTTGAGAGTGAGTGCCGGTCACCGACACAGCCAACCGTCAATGCCGAAGGCACCAATCAAGCTGAAACTTGCAGAGGGCTTCTAGAGTGGGGCAGGAGGGCCGATGGGGTGATTTCTCGCGTCTCGGGCGTTCCGGCTGGAAGTGATCATTCAGTCAGTCATTCATTCATTCATTCATTCACTTTTTTTTTCCCCCTTCTGTGAGACCTCTAGACAACGTACGTACGTATCGGACCAAGGCCCCAGCGGTACACTGGTAGAGAGATAACACATGCTGTAAAACAGGTGAACACGAGAAGGAAACGCCAGGCGAATTTTTCAGTACCAACCTGACTTTCGCAGAGCCGGCGGCAGCGGGTGCTTGCTGTCGTGACGAGGCGCTCGTCATGCCCCTCGATGACATCTGTGACCTTGGTGACGACATCACTCGCACAACTCGGGCCACCTGGGAAACAGAGGACACTGCATCGATCACCAAGACCGTTCGCACGCACGTCAAGGCCAACGTCACAGCAAATACCACGCCCGACATCTTCTGTACTCCGTGTCTACACCAGTCTATGGACGTATCCTTGTGAAGCACTTTCCACCTTCCTCCCAAAGGCAGCCATAACAATATATTCGCCTGATTGAGAGCGAAGTATCTGATTGAGAGCGAGAGCCAAAAAAATTGAAATTTCGGGTCCAGACGCCTCTTGCCATTTCTTGGCACGTAGGGGACGGGCTATTCCAAGAAGCGGTGCAAATTGAAGGTCTCATCAGCAGCTTCGCGAGCATATGCGTGTCATCGTCATCGGATGCTGCAGCGAGGAGCTAGACAAGTTGCTAGATTTGCCCAGATTGGCTATTTCTGCTCAAACTGTTTCAGGGCGGTATCGCGTCGGGCGGTGGGCTCTGCTGTAGCTTCTGCTCCCCGCTGTAGCTCCACAACGAGAGACTCCCACAGGATGACCAGGGTAGCGGCTTGAAGCTACGGGCTAGCCCTTCAATTCAAGCTACACAGCAAGCTCCACCTCTCAGTGGTAGTCCGGCTACAGCGTATCGCGCAATCTCGCTCTCAATCAGATGCTACGCTCTCAATCAGGCGAATATGTTGTTCCATGCTGTTGTAGCGTAGCACTGGAAACGCGGCACCGGCGCCTCGGCTGTCGTGCCGGTTCGCCTGAATCCCGATACATTATATTTATGAAACTGTCCACGGGCGCCCAAAAAATAATTCCGACAACTTTTTTTCAGACCTCTCGGGGGGGGGGGGTTACGATGGCTCATCCCCCTCCCCCGACGCCATACAATTTCCTACAGAAACACGCCCATACTAAATCCTACTTGGTGTAAAGGGGGCACATTTCATGCTTACGGGGGGTATAGTAACAACCCACGTAGCCCCTGGGCGAGCTCGAGCTTGCGCGCATACCGTCCGTATAGCAGAGGAGCGAGAGCTTGGGGAGGGATGAGGGGAGGAGGAGGAGAAGGGCGAGTCTTGGGGTGTGTGGGTGGGGGGGAACGAGGTGCGAGGGCGAAGTATAGCATATTGGTGAAATTGAGAGCGAAGCATCTGATTGAGAGCGAGATTGGGCGATGCGCTGCAGCTGGACTACTGCTGAGAGGTGGAGCTCGCTGTGTAGCTTGAATTGAAGGGCCAGCCCGTAGCTACAAGCAGATACCCTGGTCATCCTGTGGGAGTCTCTCGATGTGGAGTTACAGCGGCGAGCAGAAGCTACAGCAGAGCCCACCGCCCGAGGCCAAACCGCCCTGCAACAGTTTGAGGCAGGAATAGCCAATCTGGGGAAATCTGGTAACTTGTCTAGCTCCTAGCTGCAGCATCTGATGACGATGACACGCATATGCTCGTGACGCTGCCGATGAGACCTTCAATTTGCGCCGCTTCTTGGAAGAGCCCGCCCCCTACTTCCCAAGAAATGGCAAGAGGCGTCTGGACCCGCATTTCAAGTGTTTTGGTTCTCGCTCTCAATTTCATGCTCCGCTCTCAATTTCAACAATATGTTGTGAAGGCGCTCGGGGCGAAAAACCGCTCCAAGAAACAGCGGTTTAGTCTTGTGGAGGGAGGTGGAGGGGCCCGGGGGAGTGGAAAAGTACGTACATGAACGCACCGAAATTTCAATAAATTGTGGACGAGTGTTGCACGTGATTAAGGTGATGCTACCGCCGCCGTAGGCTCATCGGCAACCCCTCTTCGGCAAGTTGCCGGCTTGAGTATGCTTGGTTGGATTGATGACGTTTTGACGCATGATATTTATGCGTCCTTTGGTTCTGATGTGTCGTGTGTTATTTCGCCATTATATTCGCCCAAGGTCAAACGTCGCGGACTTGTCGCAGAAGCATTGGAAGGTTCTAAGATATTTCTGGCCTGAGGGCGGGGGGTGTCCCCAAGCACTGTACTCCCAAGACTTAAAACCAACTTCGAAACAAAATAGCTCGCTAGAAGTTAGTAGCCCATCACAGCTATATTAATACAAGGTAACAATCTTCCGGCGCCGAATGTACACACCATTAATTAACTATATCAAACCTATCAAACAACCAATACTACCTGGAACAAGGTCCTTGTGAACTTATGCGTGCCGTTAAGGCCAGCACACGCACGTACACGCAATGTAGAGGGGCCAACAAAGCCTCCACAAAAATGTACCACAATAAAAAACAAACCCTCTTCGTCCCCCTCCCGGGGGGGGGGCGGGGGGTCGGGTAGGTGTGCGGGAAGTGTTTTTTTGTGCGCCTTTAACGGCCACCAGACAGTACATGTATTTTTACTGAAGTACTCTCAACAACGTAGTCTACAGTAGTACGTACCTTCAGTGCAGGTTAGTTTCAGGTACGCCGGCGGTTAATCTCGAACCGGTAGTCCTTCTGTGTTTGCATTTACTCTTCCTAATACCCCAGGACAGGTCACTGTCGTGTATGTACGGATCAGTCTGTTTGTTGGCTGGCCAAGTGGTCTCGCCGCTCAATTTCAGAAGGTCTCACCGTGATTTTTTACGGACCGCCTTCGCGCGATTGGTAAGTTTTTGAGGAAATGTAAACCTGGGAGGGGGTACGCCAACCCCAAAGCCAACTTCCCCGATTGTACGCTTTATCCGACATAATGGTACATACAGGTAATGTAAATACGCAACACCCTGCAAAAGCTACTGTTTTTTACCCAGTCTTTTCGTCGATCTTTCTAGTGGTGATCATTGATTGATTGACAAGGTTCCCAACCTCAATCAACAAGGTACTCATCTTAGCGCCGCGACCAGTATGGACAAGCAATAGCGAACTCGTAATACCCAGACGGCCACGGCCCATCATTTACATGAGTGGATTAGTTTGTACTGGTTCTGCGCGAAGCCACCTCCTTGGTTTGATTTGCTGTGTTGAATGTAGAAGTCTACCATATACTACACGTTTTGGGTACCGTATGTTTGGCCTGCGCTTGCGAATGGCGTCTGCATCAGTTGGACCGGACGGGAACATTAATGAGTAGAGACCGGATCGGTTTGTGACAACGTTAAGATAACGACAGCAAAAACAACAAGAGACCTCCTCCTGGTTAGGGTCAACCAACCAATTCCAAAGGCATCTAGGTGTAGGCCGACTGGTGCCCGTTGGATGAGACGAGAAAACTGCCGCTGTTGTTTTGTGCGCGTGTTTTCGTCCTATCTACTTGTTGTGTGCATCTTTGACGATCTGCCGGGTTCACACAGGAGGACGGAAACACATGGACTCTGTATATAGACTCCCTCTGCTCCCTTCGTACTACGTTAGTAGAGGCCCACAAGGTATCAACTTGCCTTGTCCAATTTTAACACACGCTGAAAGAACAAATCGTCAACAACAGACAGGAGTGATAGACAAGCTTGAACTGCGGTAGTCTAGAATACGCATATACGAGCAAGCACACAATCGCTGCTGCTGCCCGTCATCCAAATAGGCAAGGTGGAGCAAACCGACGCACCCACCAAACGTAACCCAACCTCGAGATTCAGTTACAAGCTACGACGAAGAGGGAGGACCGAGAGCGTGGCGGTATCAAAAACCCACCAGACCAACCTTTCGACAAGCTTGTCGTGTGCCTAGGGCGGGGCATGTACCCTCGTTCGCCATCCTCTTCTTCGGAAGCTGAAACTTTGAAGGTGTCAGTTGGCTGCTGCACTGCACCTCACTCGTCGACTGTTATTCAATTGATGGCCGCTTCAAAATGAAGGGCGCCGATCCGCGGTGACACAAAAGGACTTTTCTCGGGCCCTTGCTTGAAACTGATATCAAGGCAAGAAGGTTTCAGGAGTTCCTTCACTCAAGTGTACTCACAAGCGCCCACGGTCGATTACTACTTGGCACGAAAATGCCGACTACAACACGACTCTTCCACCTTGCCCAGAATCGAATAATCTCCCCGACCCAAGCCACAGACACAGTGCAGCACGAAAATCACCGGGAGTACCAACAGGTTGGCACCAAACAAACATGTCTTACGAAAAACGCCAACATCCAACAAGTGACAAAAACTCGAGCTATCCGCGAGGTCCGGACAGATGGCAGGCACGATAGACACAACACACGATTCGAGACACGCCACGTCATTAGCTAATTATACGGAACCAAACCCGGGATGCGCCCACGCGAAGAAAAGCCCGACGCTCTAGCACTGCACAAACGCCCAGGTTTGAACCATCAAATTACAGCACCCCGAGCCGAGAATCCTTTCACCGACAGTCCACTGGCAGACAAGACTATCGATTGTGCAAGTATCCAGACTTGACCATCAAAAACGAAGCTTACGACGCATCGAGAACATAGCCTTCAGAGAGGACAAGGCTACGGATGTTGCACCCGACTGAGTGGCTGAACCTCCAACAAGCCGAACCGTGTTCAAAGTGACGCCTTCATAAGAACATGTGACGGAACACGAGTGTAGAGCTGGGCCACTCGGGTGATCAAACTCAATACCAACCTGCGAAGGAGGAGGCAGGGGCTCCAACATACACGCAACCAAACGCATAACATATGGCACAATACCAAAACTACATGAAAAACACGAAAGAAGCGACAAGAATGTCGGCAAGAAACAGCACGCCAGGACAGAATAAAAAACGAAACGCTTTTAGGTCGAAAACGAAAAACACAAGACTCAACAAGTTGGGGTTACCGCTGTACCCATGCCCATGATGTGGAGCTCGCAACATCATCTGCCACGCTGTTGTGACTGAACCCTCGTTCGATTTGTGAGGCAAAACGAGCGTCCTTGCCACCAGTTATCTCCGGGAACCCTGCCGGCACTCATGAAGCCATCGACGCACGCGAACTTAGAGAACCCCGCATTCTTCATCCGCCAGCATCGATGGATAGCCTCTTTCTCAGGGAAAACGTAACGCGGCCACTCCATGAACACAACAGTATGCATTGCCCAAAATACAAAATCCTCCACCTTAACGCTACGCCGGGAATAGATCGTCGGGCCTCTAACCTTTCGAATATGCTACAGATGCAGGCGGCGCTCACCTAAGTTATGGAACACGAAACACCACACACGGCGTGGGCCGGTGAGGTCGCTGTTCTCGGGCTATCCCGAGGCCCTGCTGCTGCTCCAGGCTCAGGCCCACCGAGAGCGCCGGCCGCCCGGTAAAACAGGGTCACGGCTCCCCAACGGGCTCTGACTCTGGCTGTGGCGCTGGCTCTTCCTCTGGCTCGGACGGGGGAGGGTACTCGAAGGGAAACATGCGGACAACCGTCTCCGGCTCCTTGTGCAGGATCTCTTCCCTCCACTCGGTGATGAGCGTGATGTAGCCCGAGTATGGCTTCTCGCAGCGGTAGGCGTCCAAGATGTCCTTCGTGCGGGGGTCGTTGAGAGAGGACCCGATCATCACCTGGGAGGAGGCCACCGCCAGGCCGCTCACGAACGCTCGCACACCGGAGTCCTAGAGTGGCAACAACAGCAGCACGGCGCGCGTTATTGTATGCACAAAACAAAGTTCACGCGGGGTAGCGTGAAGGCAAGTCAGCACTAGCCAAACGGGGAGGGCGGGGGATCATTGTTGCACTCGGGAGCGGTCGTCAGATGATAGATTGAGCAGTTCGACGAGACCGAGCAATGTTGTTTTGACTTGTGGACCCCGAAAGAGTGGGCTAAGCTTTTCCATGTATTCCGTGGGAAAAGGCGGAGGCATGTCGACGACCCAGCTGCTTGCGCAGGCAAAAGCAAAAAAAAAAACGTGCAAGTGTTGCTCTCCCACAACTCACGTCGATCTCAGTGAAGAATTGGTGCAGCTCGTTGTGGAGGGCGTGCGGGTAGTCGTGGTTGATCAGGTCCAGCACGGCCGCCCCGTGCGCCTGGGCCTGAGGATCGCCACCAAAACCCAAAATGAAACAAAGGCAACAAAAGGTAAGGTAAGGCACGTCCAGTGGAGAGACACACAACACCGTGGTGTGGGTGCAGTCGTACCCAACTGGTGTGGTGTCAACAACGCAGGTGACCTACGCCTCCCCCCTTCAAATCCTCCTGTTCGTGGTCCCAAGATGACGCATCTCCGACAAAAATGATTCTTCCTGTTGAGCATTACTCCGCGAAGCAAGCAGAGTGCATCCACGCTATTCATCTCTACCAACATAGACCCTCCTCCAAGGTGTTGATGGCAACTCTAGCACGCACCAGGTACTAATTCCCGGGACGCGATCAAAAACGACCTGAACATCTGCGGTGCGATGCGGAAAGCGATCTACGCTGCTCACCGAGGCCTTGTACGTCCCAGAGGTCTTGCCGTACAGGTCGGTGTTGAACAGCACCTGGTGAGTGCCGTACCCGAGAGCCACCCTTTGCTCCTCGACGAGGGCCTTCACCTGAGTTGCGGTTTTTAGTCGACATTTTTCGCGTGGTGGACATGAGGGCGCAACTTGTCGGCGCCGCACACAGCCAGGGAATCACGGCTCCACAGAGAAATCCTCGTGGGGAGGGAGTCCTTCCTAGCTAGAACGAGATGGCATGCCGCGGTGCATGCGTCTTGGCAGCCATCGTGATGAGCGGGACAAGCGCCCGCAATAGTACTCAGGGCATGCTTACATGCGCTGCAACCACGGGTCGCCACGCGCGAACCTCTCACGCATACCATCATGTGTCAACTAGCGCGATGCTGCCAAATGGCGCGGATGCGACATCCGCTCCTTCCCAGAAAGTGTCTGCGAAGGAGCGGTTCGGAACAACTGCGTAACAGATTTGAGCACACCGGTTCAGAACTGGCAACGCCTTTCGACGGTCCCGTGGCTGACCTCGAATGGCACGTAGTCAAGTAGACTTTTGAAAAAAAAAAATCCTCGTTCGTTCGTGACGCGGTTATCCTCCCATCAACGGTCACAAAGCGGCCGCGCCGCAAATAAAAAAAAAAACGTCTGCCCTCGGCCGTGGGAGGACTAACGACTCACCACGATCCGCACTCTTCGACAAGCGTCACGCACGTGACGCTAGCGGCTGTACTGCCCCCTCAACCGCCCGAACACAGATGTCATTCGAACTCACCTCTTGGTAGCACTCGGTGAGGTTTCCGTTGGACAACTCTGTCCTCCATTGCACGGCGACGAATTCCCCAGTCTCCCAGTCCTGGTCGCAGCACGAGCAAATATATAAAAAAACGCACGCAGCAGCAGCACAGAAAGGAGCGAGGAAAAACAAGGGGGGGGG